AGAGAGAATTTGAATTTTTTACCTCCCCTTTTGTCATCTTGAGAAAGGATGCAATTGAAGTCACCACCGATAACATAAGGTAACTCCAGAGTAGACTGTGAGCCTAAACAATCCCACAAACTCCTTCTACTATAAACATCTCTACTCCCCTAAACAGTAGAGATAATCCAAGAACCTTTATTAACTATACAAAGCTTACCAATCACACATTGCTCATTTGTTGTAATTAATGAAAAACTGGCCAAATCGGACCTCCACATCACCACAATCCCTCCAGACAATCCATTGGATGGATAAAGAAAGAAATCCCAATCTTTACACATGTATTTACTAAATTCACACTTCTCCAAAAAATCAATTTTTGTTTCAACAATTCCCACATAGATAGCATTCCAATCACGGCCAACCTCCTTCAAATATAGAGGGGCTTCCCTTTTTTTTTCCCTCTACAGTTCCAAAAAACAAGATAACTCATTTAGTCACCGAGGGGGAAGGTCCCCCACCCTTTTTTCTACTAATTCCATTTTGTTTTTTAAGTCTGGAGGATTGATTTAAAGGTCCCAAAAATTTAAGCTCCTTTTGAAGCTTGGGTTTAGACTTCCAAATATTATCCATCTTTCTACTGTCAAATACAGTAGGAGTTTCAGCAATTTACTTATTCACCACAGAGTCTTTGATATCAACAAATTCTCCTTCTTCAATATCAAGTTTTCCAGAAGAGCATTTCTCAGAAACATTTTCTCCACACAACTCCTCCTCAATTTCACTAAGAAATTCAAAATTGTTGCTATTCGGGAAAGAAAAATCAGTATGATTATGAATTACCGAATTCCACTCAGAAGACCCAGCATCTTCCAGCTTTTCAAATCCCGAAACAGCTAGTTTCTCATCCGTTGACAGTTTCTCAGAAGTTTCTAAGAAACCTGAATAATTTCCTGAACATCATTTTTCTTGAAAATCTGCTTGTTGCTTTTTGGGTCCGGTTTGGAATTAACTTGATTTACCCTCTTTTGATTGTTCCAATTCCTCTTTTTGTTATTGACGTGAATCCAAGGTCCATATATAGAACCTTCAGGAATTGCTTCATGATCCTTGACTCCCTTCAAAATATTTTCATCTTTCTGACCAGTGTCCTCCTTCACCACTTTGGCTCCACATGAAGAAATTAAGTGTCCAACTTTGCCACACTTATAACAAAGAGAAGAGATCCTTTCATACTCAACTTTCTGGAAGAACCTACCATTAGGACCTTCAACCCACACCCCCAATGGTAGCTGTTTATCAAGCTCCAATCTTACACAAACTCTCCCAAATTCCCTCTTGCTCCATTGAAACATGTTCCCATCAATAAGAAGAGGAGTACCAATAAGGGAAGCAATCCTTGCAACATTGATTTCATCCCAACAAAAAAGAGGGAGGTTAGGAAATCTGATCCAAACCAGAGAGCTTAAACCTTTCAATGAAGATGGAGAGAAGTCCGAACTCCATCTATCCATTCCAATTATATGCCCTCTAAAAAAACAAGGTCCTCCCATAATAACATTCTCCATAGTCTCTTTGTCATCAAACGAGCATAACATCCATCCTAATCCAAGAGATGTCAAGTGAAATTTACCAAAATGATTCCATTGACGCCTTAACTCTCATGCAATCATTGAAATCGAGATATCAGCTCCAAATGCCTTCACCATATAGATAAATGAAGACGTTCTGAGTTGACCTTCACATTTGGTTCAAACAATTTCACTGCCTTGCTATCCTCTGTTAAGCAATTTGCCACTATTTTAGAGTCAATTTTAAGATGATTTTGCTTTAACCATGGATTTGATCCCACCATCTCTCTTTCATTATCTAAAACATTAAGATTATTAGCCAATAAAGGGACATTACTGACATTTTTACGAACAGTTAAGGAGCAATCTTTAGATTTTTGAATTGAAGAGAGATCTGAAGACCCGCCATTCCCTTTAAACGAATTGCCAAAATGATTGACAAAAATCTTCATTCCAGAAGATGAAGAGATTTCACCATCAGTAGATTTAATTTTAAGACCTGAAATGGGAGAACCTGAATCCATCCTTGAATCCAAAATTTCCTTTCCTTTGCCCGGAACAAGAATAGGGGAGATCGTCTTCAGAACAGAAGGTTCCCTGATCACCAGATTCTCATTTTTAGCAGGACGACCAGTCATCAACACATTCACAGAACCGAAGCCATCAGTAGCTTCGCCGTCCGTGATCGCATCCGGGCCTCCCGCCGACATCCCAAACGATCCCGCCAAATCGGAACCAAGATGAATTTGAAAAACTCTCTCTCTAAAATTTTTTTCTCTAAAATTTAGAATTACTTTTAGGAGGAGATCATATTCCTTAGTGTTTTCACTATAATGGATGCTCAAATATTATCATTGTTCTATAACAACTCATGCAAAAGTTAAAATTTTCTAAGAAAAATTTTATCATGTTGCATTTAGTTCTCTTAGAACATGCAAATGAGAACTCTAGAAAATTCATATTATTTTCTTTGAGTTACTCGAAACAAATTCAATCATAGAATCAATCTTTAAACAAAATCTTGCATTTCTCCTTCGGTGGTCGAGATCCTTTGATAAATCTTTACTTATCAAAGATAATTGAACTACACTTCTTTTGTTTTCCTTACATATAATGATCTGATATAAAAACATAATCTCTAGTGGAATATTTGTAAGTTATAAAGATAATTTGTAGTGAAGGAGAAATTAAATTTTCAATTCAAAGATTATAAGTGCTATCATTCTTCTAAATATTTTTTTTTCCTTCTAGAAAGTGACATATACAAAATCTTATGATCTCCAGTAGAACATTTGAAAGTTATCAATGTCATTTGTGATGGAGAGAAATGATCTATGCTTTAAAGAAATCAAATATACAATAAAGTTCAAAACCTCTTTAAATCTGTCTTTAGGTATAAGTCCGCTTGTACGGCTTTTGGCTTAAGTCTGCTTTTACGACAGCCATCCAGTTAAATCGGTCTTTAGGTCTAAGTCCGCTTTTATGGCATCCTATCGACTTCTGGCCGAAGTTCGCTTTTACGACAGCCATCCAGTTAAATCCGACTTTAGGTCTAAGTTTGCTTTTACGACATCTTATCGACTTCTGGCTTAAGTCCTCTTTTATGAAAGCCATCCAGTTAAATCCATTTATAAGTCTAAGTCTACTTTTAGGGCATCCTATTAACTTTTGGGTTAAGTCCGCTTTTATGGCAGCCATCCAGTTAAATCCGTCTTTAGGCCTAAGTCCGCTTTTACGACATCCTATTTACTTATGGCTTAAGACTGCTTTTATAGCAGACATCCAATTAAATTCGTCTTTAGGTCTAAGTCTGCTTTTACAACTTCCTTTTGACTTCTGGCTTAAGTCCGCTTTTACGGCAGCCATCCAGTTAAATCCACCTTTAGGTCTAAGTCCGCTTTTACGGCATCCTATCGACTTTTGACTTAATTCTGCTTTTACGACAGCCATCCAGTTAAATCCGACTTTAGGTCTAAGTCCGCTTTTACGACTTCTTATCGACTTTTGGCTTAACTCCACTTTCACGGCAGCCATCAAGTTAAATCCATTTTAAGGTGAAAGTCCGCTTTTATGGCATCCTACTGACTTCTAGCTTAAGTCCATTTTTATGGTAGCCATCAAGTTTAATTCCATCTTTAGGTCTAAGTCCTCCTACAACATCCTATTGACATTCTTGAAATTAGGTATAAGCATCCCTAGTGACATCCTAATCTTTGTCTCGAAGTGAAGTATAAGCATCCCTAGCGGCATCTTCTCTTCATTAAATTTTAAATCTTAAATCCGTCTTTAGGTCTAAGTCCTCCTACGGCATCCTATTGACATTCTTGAAGTTAGGTATAAGTATCCCTAATGGCATCCTAATCTTCGATTCGAAGTGAAGTATAAGCATCCCTAGCGGCATCTTCTCTTCATTAATTTAAGAAAAAAAAAACCCAAATCTTCTAAGATTAGGTACAACCGTATCCATAGGTTGCTCTCTTTTCTTAGAAAATGCCCTCTAGTTTGTTGAGTTAGGTGTAAGTGCCCACTTGGTGGAAACCTTCCTCTTGGACTAGAAAGAAAACACTGGTCTTATCAAAAACACATTCAAATTATTACATTCATGTTAAATCACATTCAAACTATCACAATCAATTCTTTCATACCTTGACTTATAATGATACTAATCTTAATAGTTATCATTTCACTAAAGCCATCAGTACTGACATCAAACATCAAATCAATTCATCAACTCGAATTTCTATCAATTTTCATTCTGATTATCTATAAAAATACAAAGTTCTTTCAAATCATTTGCTCAGATCTTCAACTTCAACTTTGGATATAGTTGATCACTTCGGTCAACACTAATACGCACAATAAACTTTGGCAAGTTTATCAAGCCTATTGGGGGTCCATTTGTTGACCTAATTATTCGAGGTAAATTTCCCCGAAATCAATTCTAGCACTTAGGACTTCGTAGCCAAGTGTAGATGTCGTTCTTTTAGGATTTATCTTAGGTGGATACCCACTGACGCGACATCGGCATAGCATCCTGCCTCGATCTAAATAACCACTAATTCAAATAAAATTGACTCAACTAAAATTTGATTTAGCAAACGACTACTTTGATTAAATCCAAAATTAAACTCATCTTAAACCCATTAAAATTAAATCAACTCAATATTTAGTTAAACCCAACTCAATTGAAATCAAAATCATCGTTAGTGGAGTAGAATTAATCATTTTAAATTACCTTAATTTTGAAATTGACATAAAATAATTATTTTAAAACATGAATTTTATTACAAATTTATATCCACATGACTCTCAAACTTTCATATTAGAATTAACACTTAAATTTCTCTTTAAAACATGAATTAATCTAAACCGTGGATTTGAATTAAAAGAGGGTATTGAGTTTAGTTCAAACTATCCGAACCCCACTCTCTCTATTTTGGTGAAACTGAAACCCGCAACGGCTCTCTCTCCCCATCCACTGCAGTTCGCAAACGAACCCAGCCAGCCCCAGTAAAGTTCGCGAAAACTTCCTGGCTTCATCTCTCCCAGTCGCAAGAAGGTCGAACAAGACCCCTCTCTCTGTTCGCAGACCTCCAGGCGCGAAATCCCCCTGTCCCCTTTCAGTTCGTGATTCCCACTTCCTCTCGATAGTTCAAAATCCCCAGGCCTCCTTTTCATTCGCGAACGAGACCTTCTCCCCCTCTCCATCGCTCTCTGGATTCACAAGAACAGAACACCCAGGTACTTGTTTGCCCCTCTATCCCATCGCCTCCTCTGCTTCCTGCGACGCCAAGGGCTGAAGCAGTCGTCTTCCTCCCTTTCTCTCGTGTGCAAGGGACCCGGCTTTAACTCTCTGCCCTAACCTTGTCCGTGCCTCCATCTGTTTCTGATTTGCTCGGCCAAAGGCAAGAGAAAGTGGTGAACTTCCTCTTCTTCTTGATTCTTCTTCCACTCTTCTTTGTTCTTTCTTTTATGAATAATCTTGTTGGATAGTTAGTCTACCAAATGAGGTTATTTAGCAAACATTCATTCATTTTACTCTTAAGTTTCTGCACTTGTTTGGGTTGAGTACTATCCTACTTATGAATATTTATTCTTCAAGATTTAACTAGATAGCCTCATGAATCGTTGAATGGGTTTATAGAAAGATCCATGTTGTTTGAAACTAAGTTTTTTGTGTGTAAAATCTGCAGAATAATATGTTTATTGTGCTTTGTATCATGAAATGTATGGTTTAAAACTCTATGCATAGATTGGAAGAATTTTTAGCATCATATATCAAATGAATAAAATGTGCTTGTGTTATTATCTATTAAGGAATGAGATGAGATTTGGTTAAATAAAGAGTTAGTGGGAAAGCATATCTATGTTTTGTTCCATTCACACTCCCAAGATATACATGAGTTTAGAAAGTTTTTCTTAGATTTTTGCGAGGTTGTGTTGTGTTTAAGTTTGAAAGGTGGAATAAATGTATGTTTTGGAAAGTAAAAATGTGTGTTGATAAGTGCTTGGACTTTAGAAAAGTAAAGTGAAGTGTGTATGTGAGTAGTGAAGAGAAATGTGTGGAAGTGAATATATTTTGAAGAAGTGTAGAAAAATGTATCTTAAAAAGGTGAATTATATGTGAATAAAATGAAATGAAAAGTGTATGTTGAAAAGAACGATGTGGCCCTCGCACTGTG